ACAAAAAAAAAAAAAAAAAGAAAGATTCCGTACTGGACTCGCCGCTTCCGTACAGTGAATCGGCGATTCACTGTACAGAATCGTCCGGTTCTCTCTAGAACCGGACGATTTTCGATTTTTTAGGCGATCCGGTCCCCTTTTCATGATTTCCGAGTCGAACCGGACGACTCAGCGTTTTTTAAAACACTGGTGGCTACATTAACTTTGGATTAATGCTGCCATAGGTATTATCGATGTTAGAGAGAGAGGAGGGGGGCATCCTAGGACTGTGGGTGGTTGAAAGGAAGAGTGTTTGGTGTGTGTTTGAGAGAAAATTGTAGACATCATATACACGCCTCATTTGACATTTTTTCTTCCTTTCCTTTAACCTCAGAGTAACGGCCCTTTCCATTTCTTATCACCAGATCATCAACCCCAACTACCGCATGTGCGATAAGGTACAGAAATAAAGGACAAACTATGCAATCCTAATATATATGAAATTAATTATTCTTCAGTAATTATTAGTAAAATTTCAAATTTAATTTGTGAAATGGGCTTTTTCTAGCCCAGGCCCATGGGGGGTCCGACATAGGGGTGGCAATTGGGTCGGGTCGACTCGACGACCTGGCAGTGACCTAACCCTAGTCTTGGTCTAAGTTTCGGATCCGGTGGGTTGGATCCAGGTCCAAATCCCTAGATCCAAGTCAGATCTGAGTCAGGTTTTGCCAGGTCTACCCAACCCAGACCCAACCTGAACATATCCCCCCAGACACACACACACACACATATATATATTTGAAGGAAAAATTTTATATAAAGATGAGGCTCTAAAAAATCAAATTAGAGCACACCTCAAAAATTTTACTAGAAGAGGTTGTTTTGATGCCAAAATATTCTCAAATTGATCATCTCTAAGATGCATGGATACGAGAAAAAAATGGATTTCAAGTTTTGGAAATAGTGCATCTTGTAATGCATTTTTTTACTGTCAATATTCAAGATTTTCAAATTTTCATAAATTTGTTAATCTACACTATTTTTCAAGCTTTAAATTTTATAATTAGAGATGAAAGTATATTTTAAGGTTACCACAAGGATTTCAAGTATTAAACCGTAAATCTCAACACTATTTGAAGGTGCGCTCTACTTTGACTGGTCAGAGCCTCGGGCCCTATACAAACGGTACCCGTATTTGAAATATATACACACACATATATGATTAATATGTATAGTATTTTTTGAACTATACAATATTTTGATAAATTTGCCTATATAAAGGCGCCTTACACGATGAGACTATTTAGCTTTCATACAATGAGGTCATAGGCATTGGATATAAAATTCAATAAATAAAAGTATGTTGCAAGATTCGAGATACTTTATTTTAGACTTTGTCCCCAAGCAATGATACATTCTCGAGCATATAATTTCAAATCTATTGGTCAATGATGACTGTGACCTCCCTATATATAAAAAAAATGGTCTAATTCTATATACTTCCATATTTATAATGTGTGTATTTGAAATATGTCTTTTGAATATTTTTCAAAAAAAAAAATTAGGTTCTCGACTCAAGCCCGAACCAGGTCAAGTTTTGGACCCGAAGTGTTGGGTCCAAGTCCAAAATTCTTGACCACGAGTAGGGTACAGGTCTAGGTTGACACATACCTGACCCAACCTATTGCCACCTCTAATCTAACTTCAACTTGGGTTGGTCATATTAGGACACCCATTGTAAGGACTGGGGGCCTTGGACCCATTCGACCCTAATGACCACTTTCTTCTTTTGGTAAAAAGTGAAGAAAGCAATGGGGTCCGCAATTTCAGTTTCATTTCAATGTATGCATTATGTGTTTTACCAGCCCAACGTGGCCCAAGTTTTCCATTTTCCCAGACCTAAT